TAGACTATTTAGTAATGCTGAAGTTTCTTTCAAGTGTCAACTTTGTCTCAGGTGTTTCTCTTAAAAATCCACATACAGTTGGAGTTATAGAATTAATATGAACAGCACAGCGCATATTATTTGGTGTTGGAAAATTAGGAGAAATTTTGTTCAAATTGAAATCTTGAAATCATATTGAATTTTGTATCTTGAGCAAGTTTGAGATATTGTTGAGATCACTTAAGAATCTCTAATCTTTACTGATTATTAGTATTGTTCTCTCTGCAGAAAAATTTAGAGATGCAGGAGACTCAGAAAGCTTCTGTTTGTTTTTCATTTAATATTATGTCTAGAAGAAACATTTTAAATACATTTTTTAATTAATTAAAATAAATTATTGTAATTTTTATTTAAAAAAATTAAATTATTTTGTTTAAAAAATCTTCAGTGTTATTACATATTTGTAAATACCTTTGTATTTTTTGTGGACAAAACTTACGCTACACTATAATTCAAAAATATATATATTTAATAATGTTATGCTCATCAAGGCTGCATTTATTTGATAAAAAAATGCAGTAAAAGCAGTAAAATAATTGTAATTGTAAATATTATTACAATTTTTAAAAAACTGTTTACTATTTGGAATATATTTTAAAATGTAATTTATTCCTGTGATGCAAAACTGAATTTTCAGCATCATTACTCCAGTCTTTAGTGTCACATGATCCTTCAATAATCATTGTAATATACTGATTTGGTGCTTAATAAACATTTCTTATTATTAACAATGTTGAGAAACAGCTTAATATTTTTGTGAAAGCCCTGATACCTTATTTGTTATTTTTCAGGATTCTTTGATGAATAGAACGTTCAAAAGAACAGCATTTGAAACATAAATCTTTTGTAAGAATGTCTTTACTGTCACTTTTGATCCATTTAATGACCCTTGCTAAATAAATTAAGCGTTAGCGTTAGTTCTGGCAGGTCACGTGAGTCAAGCTTGCATCAGCTGATTCTCAGCTGAAAAAACATACCCCAAATCTTTGAACGGTATTTTAAACTCTGCTGCATTTTAAAATCTGTCTGTCGAAGCTTTGCTATTTCTTACTTACACACAAACTCACCCCACACACACCACTAACTATGCAGACAGGAGGAGATGAAAGCAGCAGAGCTCAGAGACCCTTTTCCTCCTTGACCACAGTCCCGTGGCTGATGTGTTCATGTGGATGACCACCCACCTCGAGTCAGTCCACGACTTGAAACACCTAATTACGAGCAACTGCGTCTTATATGTGTGAGCCAATATCAACCACATATTAACGACCAAAGAATCCATCAAAAATCTTTCACTGCACACCTAAAAATTACGTTTAATAAAAACCCACCACATTAGAATTTAACAGCTGTTAATAACTCGAAATCTCTGCCTAGAAAAATAGCAAAAGGCTGGAATACACAACAAGACTGACTTTCAAGCTTTCAAATTTCAAGACTTTAACGCAGAAACATGCGCCTTGTTGCAAGGAGGTGCATGACAAATAAAATCAACAAGTGTTCTAAAATTGCCCAAAATACCAAACATGTTTGATATCCTCCAACTGAATGGATTCAGTCTGAAGCTAGAAAATTTGAGCCTGGCTCCATTATACACTACCAGATTATATGCGAAATCTGTCGACTTCGACTGACTGACATTCGTCAACTTCCATTGACTCCTCAAGACTGTAAATCTGAGCAAAAGTCATGTATTCCAGCCTTAAGCTGACAATAGCCATCAAAGCATCCTTGTTCCAATTCTTAGGGAAGACAATAAGGGAGAAACCGCTTAAAGCTTTGAATACACAGACGTCGGCTGTCACAGGGTGTAGCTGGGATAATGCAAGGCCATTGGAGAAAAGGACACAAATATGGGAGGCGACATCTGAAAGATCATCATTAAAACACTTCCTCCTCTGTAAAAACACACTTTAGCAGCACACAGTTGTGTCATTTTACTGGAAATGGAAGAGGAAAGCTCTCGCAGCGCTCGTGGGTCAAAGTTGGTCGACTTCAAAAGAATCCGTGCCACTCGGATGAGAGTATAATCCGTCTCTATGTGTGTACAAACACACAGACACACTCCCACAAACATGCCCAAATGGCACAATGCAAGGTGTCACATGTAACTCAGAGAATTAAGCCCCACTTCCTCTCTCAGTGAGAGAAACAAAGCCACTCTTCCTCTTCTGTGTGGATTCAATGCATAGCTATTTATAAACAATAACATGTCCCCCTGCTGCTCCTCCTGAGGAGGACAGAATTGTTTAACACATTGTTTCAGGGATGTGAACATCTGTCTGCGCGAAACACACGACGCCACGGCGCAGCGTGAGGCAGCGGTAGCCAGACAGTCTTCAGAGATGCAATCAGAAACCTGTTGCCCTCTTTATGCGATCCTCGTGATGCAACAGAAAGACTGATGCTGATATATGAGATCCAAATAGGCCGAGACATAACTCCTAAAAAGCAGCGTGTCCATTTTAAACCATCGTCTGCCCTCCTTGTGGGTAGACTAGGCTTCTTGGCAGGGACATAAAGAGACTGAAATGAAAACATGGTGACATGGAGACCCACTCGGAGGAGCAAAAACCTCAAGCTTGGAATGAGAAGAGGCTCTGGCATGCTTTGTGGGGGGAAATACTGTTGTGTTGTGGGCCCACACCTTCAAAAGGGAGCACTAATCACAACATGTGATGAGACGCAAGAACAAAGACGAACGTCAGTAGAAAATAACAGCGTGGGAAACCTCTGCGAACTTGAGTTACAGCGACAAAAAGAGCCACCCCCATCCCCGAGCACATAGAAAAACACACATACACGTACAAACACAACGGCCCGCCATCCACCCCTGTCAGAGGCAAACACGAGGAAGTGCATCCATGCCGTCGAGCCGAAGCTGGTAGCAATAACAACATGAAATCAGCCAAAGAGCTTCCTCTCATTCATGTATGCAGAACCGATGACAATTAAGCGTGATGTGCACGGGCTGATAAGGATCCAGCTGCGGCGTATCGGCCAGCAGCACACATCAACGTCAACTAGCTCTGTTCTGTCGATCAGGAGCTCTTCCTGATGCACTTGCAGCCTCTGCCAATAGGAATCAATATATGATGGTTTTCATGTTTGTTTCAATGTGTGAAATATGTTATTTAGTAACTTGTAATTTAGTCTACAGGTGTGCACACTTACTATGAATGAATGAACGAATGATGCATTTATATAGCGCTTTATTGTGTATTGCTGTACACCCAAAGCGCTTTACAATCATATGGTGGTGGTGGTGGTGGGGGGGGGGTCTCTCCTCAACCACCACCAGTGTGCAGCATCCACCTGGATGATGCAACCGCAGCCACAGGACAACGGCACCAGTGCGCTCACTACACACCAGCTACAGGTGGAGAGGAGAGAGAGTCATAGAGCCAATCAAGTGGATGGGGATTATTAGGAGGCCGTGATGGTCAGAGGCCAGTGGCGGCAATTTGGCCAGGACACCGGGGTTACACCCTTACTCTTTACGAGAAGTGCCATGGGATTTTTTTTAATGACCACAGAGAGTCAGGACCTCGGTTTAACGTCTCATCCGAAAGACAATATAATAAAAGAAAAGAAATATACATAGGCCTATATTTTTCATATTTGTTTATTTTATTTTTATTTATATTTTAATGACCACAAAGAGTCAGGACCTCGGTTTAACGTCTCATCTGAAAGACAGATACTAGTTCTTGACTGACAGAATAATATTATTAATGTTTGTTATTTGCAAAAATACAGAAGACTTGAACTGAATTTGAAATGAATTAGAACAGATTGATATACGTGTTATGAGGTTATATATTTTTATATTTTATATTTTTATAATTCTAAATTTGTATGAATATTTTAGGTTAAAATTCATATAAATTAAAATAGAAAATTAGGTCATAAAAGCTCAATGTACAATAATTACACAAGAATTAGAAAAAATATTTTAGATGGAATATAGCATATTTACATGTTCAATTCTGTTATATTAAAGTGTATTTCACAAATTTATATGGTTTATTTATATTAATTTGTATGCTATTTCTGTATGTATATCTGTATGTATGCTATTTCTGTATGTTTGCATACTATGAATATATAGGCCTCTCTCTCTCTCTCTCTCTCTCTCTCTCTCTCTCTCTCTATATATATATATATATATATATATATAAGAGCTATAAAAATCTGAATAAATGTAGCATGTTAACATTTTGAATTCTTTTTATTGATTTTTATTATACTTTATATGCTAGTATGTTTTTGTTCGAAATGTTGTTTTATGTATATAGGCTATATTATGAGCAAATATATTATTACATTTAAATAGTGTAAAACTATAAAACGTATTTTACATGCTTATTGCAAGTGGAAAACCCTGCTGTGTTTACTGCTGTGTACTTAGTGCATTTAAAGGGACTGGTCGGTTTTAATTGTAATGTACCTTTGGGAATGCCGTCAAAGAAGGTACATGTTTGAGCTTCATGGACTACATTTAGACTTGGTGGCTTCTTCGTACACACTGCACTACTTCGGATGAGTTAGTATTAGATTACAGGTTCACACGCTCACTCGCAGACCGCCCGTCGCCCCAACCAATTGCCCCATTCATTCCAGCGCCGGAGACGGCCGTCGCCCCTGATTGGTTATCAGCGCTCTGCTGAGAAACTTTCCCACGGCCAACGCGTGCTGACAGCCGGCCAGCCACTCCTTTAGCTGGGCTAGACAACACAAGCGCCGGCGGAACCCGGGGGCGGAGCTCCGCACTCACGGACGAACTTTCTATTGGCCCTTTGTTAAGCATATTCAAAAATATGGGCGGGGCTAAACTGGGACGTTGACAACCGACATGCCACTCAATCTCAGAGTTGTTCGTTGATTGGCTCTCCACGGGTTTAGCCACGCCTCTTCTGGCGAGCTGCGGCGTTGAAATGATACCGTGGGAAAGCTTGTCGGTTCATACGGATGAACTTCTGTCTCACCTGACGCACGCTGCGGATACGCTCTGTAAGATTATCGAAAAATGAAGAGAAATCACGACTTTAGCTCCTCAGACAGTGAGCTCGATGAGAACATCGAAGTGGAGAAGGAGAGTGCTGACGAAAATGCGTAAGTTAGCTGTCATTTATTTATTTTGGGTTGTTTTGCTTTTTTTGAGTGATGAAACGTTGAACTTGCAACAAACTGGAGAAGAAAATAACCATAAAATTAAATGTGCGCACATTTAATTTGTATCGCACACAAGATTTAAGATTATAATTTCAAATCCCATGTCTGACAACGGAATTGTATGGAATATTACCTAGAAAATCGTTTCGTTTAGATGTTGGTCAATATCATGTTTCATAATGAATATCATATTTACTGTGTTCATATTTATCTTATGCATATTTTGTTTTTAAAGCGGTGTGAATTCTCCAATTGGTTCAATGTCTCCATCCACAACCTCTCAAGTGCAAGCGAGAAAACGTCGCAGAGGGGTAAGAGCATTTTTCATCGTTGCAAAACCCTGAAAACCTCATCTGTAATGCTGAACAAATGACTGTACTGTTCTTAAATGGCTGTTATTAATGATTTCACAATCGGTTTGAACAGATCATTGAGAAGCGCCGAAGGGACCGGATAAATAACAGTCTGTCTGAGCTGCGCAGGCTGGTGCCCAGCGCGTTTGAGAAACAAGTGAGTGTCAATCACTGCATCTGACTCACATCTCACTTTCAGATGTCTAGCTACTGTAAATGTCTAGCTTTTTTTTTAAGTCTTATTATAGCTGAACTTCTTGTAAAAGGAAATGCTGGCATTAGTTTGGCTCAATCCTGTATTAGTAGCCTATTTCATAAAAACAGTAAAGCAATTTTGTTTTAGAAATATTATTATTAATATATATATATTTTTAAATAGATGTTTAAATAAAACTTAAGTGTGGCATAATCAACATGCAGAAAGCCATTTTATTGTCATGTGACAAGAAAACCATATAACGAAAGAGCACTACTTGCAACCCTCAAGATATCCGAATCTTGGTTTGTGCAAGACAACTCCTTTATTGATTTGAAAATTTTGTAAATTTATATTCAAGGTGCAAGGAAAACATTTGAGTACTTTATACTTGATTGGGACCACTTGACAATTCATGGCATTTTTGGCATAAACAGTTTCCAAAAATATACTGTTTGAAACCAAACATGGGTTTTTGAAATGGATTAATAAAAAAAAAATGTTTTCTTTTTTTTTAATTATCACAAACATTCTTATTTGTCAATGAGCCCTGTATATGATATATATAGTCTTACCTCTTAACTCATCAACACATTTGTTCTTGTTCTCAGGGCTCTGCCAAACTAGAAAAAGCAGAAATTTTACAGATGACCGTTGATCATTTAAAGATGCTTCATGCAGCTGGGGGAAAAGGTAATTTTTATAACTAGCACTTATTTGAAAGAAAATACACTTTGAGTATAAATTTGGTTAATAAGCATTAATATATATGCAGCTTTGTATTTATATTACAAGTTTTTATATTACATATTACAAATGTACTACAGCTTTTTAAAACGTTTCACTACTTTAACGTACATGTTTTTTATGCATTATAATATTTTCTAATGATTTATGAATAATAAAATTTATTATAAAGTCTTAGCAAATAAAATTTAATTTAATGCAACCTTGCATTATGAGATCAACCAGTGTTTGGGAATCTGCTCAAGGAAATTCCCACAGTGAAAATAATTACCAATCCCTGCACAACCGAAACAGGACGAACTAGACGTGTAAAGTGTCTTTTAATCTCAGTTGTTTATTTAGCATCATTTCAGTTTCACTCTCAGCCACTCCCAGTGAGAACTGCAGTGTTTCCTGTCATAAGCTGTAATCATTATCAGATCAGAGCGCTCAACAGCTCTCGTTCTCTCTCACACAGGTTACTTTGATGCTCACGTGCTGGCCATGGATTACCGTGGCCTGGGTTTCCGCGAATGTCTGGCGGAGATGGTGCGTTACCTCAGCATCATCGAGGGCCTGGACAACACCGACCCCCTCCGCATCCGCCTGGTTTCACACCTGAACGGTTATGCCTCCCAGAGAGAAGCTCACTCTGGTTTGGGCCACTTGGCGTGGGGCTCTGCGTTCGGGACGCCACCTGGACACCTGGCTCACCACCTCCTCCTGCAGCAGCCGCGCAGCACCAGCAGCCCTCCATCCTCCAGTTCTTCATCGCCCTCCTCCTCATCTCCATCTGCCCCCTCCACAGAGCCACACGCCCCCAGCAGGCTGACTGGCACGGTGATTACTGAGGCAGGGCAGACAGGACCGCTGCAGGTGCCGCCCAGTTCCTCCCTGCCCCCTGGGCTCACACCCCCTACTACATCCAAGCTTTCTCCACCCCTCCTGACGTCACTTTCGAGCCTGTCTGCGTTTCCCTTCCCACTGAGCGCATTTCCCCTGCTGTCTCCGAGTTCGCTGGGCCCCGCGACTCCCTCCAGCAGCCTGGGGAAGCCCTACAGGCCTTGGAGCATGGAAATAGGGGCCTTCTGAACTTGAAAACATGAACGCTGTGGACAGACAGTCAGTTAGAAATGACTTTTTCTGTAACTTCTGACTATTTTGAAGAGATGGACAGAACCGCAGGCTTGTACAAAGGGAACAAGCGAATACAGATCTGATGTACTTATTCCAGTTACCCTGTCTTTTAAAGCTGTCCTGTCTCAGGTTGAGCAGAGATGAGTTCTAGGAGAGGGTCAGGTTCTCGCACATCAGTTCTGAGCAAGTCTAGTTCTTTTGTCCCTCAGTGGAGAAAGGTAAACTAATAGAGAGAGAGAGAGAAAATGGAGCAAAAGCAGATGAGATGCATCACTGAATGGGTGTTAATGGAGTTAAGCTCAAACCAGATGTCCATTTAAAGGGACAGTTCCCCCAAAAATTAAAATTCTGTCATCATTTACTCACCCATCATCTGTGGAAGATAAAAGAAGATATTTTGATGAATGTTGGTAACCAAACAGTTTTGGGTGCCATTGACTTCCATTTAATTTTTGTCCAAGCGAGACCCAAAACCATTTGGTTACCAACCAACAATCTTTAAAATATCTTCTTTTATCTTCCAGAGAAGAATTACAAGGAATATAGGAATGACATTATAGTAAGTAAATGACAGAATTTTCTTTTTCGGGGTGAACTATCCCTTTAATTATGTTAAAGATAGTAAAGAAGTGCTTTGATCACATGAAACATATATTTGCATCCTAAATCGTCTCCTTTAGAATGACAGGCAGGATTTGACTTATTTTGTGAGGAAATATGTTCAGCATTTCCATGAAATTGAAAAACTATGCAATGAACTTGACACTGATGTTTTGCAGTTGTCTCTCTGCAAATGTATATGAAACTATGCAACTGAATCTGTATTCCTCAGCTGAACTTGATGAGTACTTTATTTTTATAAAGATTTTAAGTCATTTTGGCCAGTGACCTGCTGTGTGTGTTTATTTGTTTAAAATGTTATGAATTTGTTGTTTGCTGGAACAGACCACTGTTAAACCTTTACAGAGACAATCTAGATAGACAATCTCTCAGAACTGCACTAATTTAATTGTAGCAAAGGCACTCTTGGATTTGTCCATAGCAGTTGTTTGCTCACGTGCATAAGTTCCCCCCTTCATGCACCAGATCATCTCTCTCTCTCTTAGTTAACTGTACTTGAGGAGTGTTTTGGAAAACCAGATTGTTTTGTGGTAATAGGGAATTTGCACTGGCAAATCAGATGAGATAGGGGAATAGATAGTACTGGAAGAGATGGTGTGGTACTGTGCCTGTCCCTCACTAACCTGTGTGACTTTCCTGTAATAAAATGAAATGTGTAGCTAATAACCCTGGACTTGTGTATTCATGTCCTGTTTTCATTTTTGACATTGTCTTCATTGATACATTCAAAATTACAAATGCGAATATACTGGTACCATAACACTTATCAGTCGATATTACAGATTTAACAATTAGGCTATTTAAAATGTTAAATGTCATTTTTAACCAATCTAATGAAAAAACTTACTGTACATTATAATGTTTTGCATAAATATTCAGCATTTTATATACATTTAAAATTAATAAATTAACCATTTAAAATCATTGGTTTAGTTTTGAGTGCTTTAAATTTAAAAAATAAATAAATTTCTTTTACATTTATTAAGATTTTAAAAACTGGTTTAATATTATAATTATAACATAATATAATTTTAATGTTGGCCATTTTTTTTTATTATTGGCCATTACATAAAAAATAATTATGAGCTTATTGGTATCAGTCAGAAATTTAAAATTGGTGCATTTTTGACAAATCTCAAAATGAATATCTATTTTTTATACTGTACGTTATAATGTTGTGATGCATAAATTCAGCTGTAGCATTTAAAATGATTGGTTTTAGTTTTTTGTGTTTTATTTTTAATTCATTTGACAATCATTTAATTAAATTATCTAATGAATTATAATTTTAACATTTGTCCATTTTTTTTTAATTATTGGCCCTTACATGAAAATTATCAGGCATCAGCCAAAAATTTTAAACTGGTGCAATCCCAATCAAAATGATTACATATTTTTTGTTACAACATGACCATATTTACAGACATCTAAATTAAAATGTTGTCAGGGCAAACCTCACAGTCTTAGAACTTTATGTGTAAAAAGTCAAAGAAAACTACATTCATGTTTTTATCGTCCAGAATTGTTGGCGTGTTTGAAATGTTCCAGTCAGCCTCGCTCTTCACAGGTGGATATACATAAATAAGCCTTACATGTGATTTAATGCTTTGGGGATGAATAGTTCCTTTCATGCCAGCGAGATGAGGCGCTGCACATTTCTATAGGGCTTGAACCTGTGCCTGTATGCGTGCGTTTTGAACTGATATCAAACACGACCCAGGGGCCTCTCTATGTTTCCAGGAAGCCATTAACAGCCAAGGGATATCCTGGACAATGGCAGCCTGGCTGGCCTGGACTGGCCTGGCCTGGCCTGGAGGAAAGAGAGCGGTACAGAGAGAGAAGAGAAGGAATGAGAGAGATGGAAAAGTGGGAGGAGAAGGCTGCACAGTGCAGCTTTGTCCCAAAGCAATCCCAGCTTCTCACTGAGCTCCTGGTGTGGTGCACTCCCACGCCACCACGGGTACTGTGACTGCCAGCCAAAGCCGTAAAACAGATTCCCACCTACACACAGCACTCTGCCAACACACTTCTTTATTTCTCTAGCTGCCATTAAATCTATTTTAGAGGCTTTTATCGCATGTTTTTCCCCTCATTCCCCCCAGAGGTGCTGGTTGGATTTCCTAAACCTGGAATATTAAGTAGATAATGCAGCAGAAATGGCTAGGTTTGGAATAGCATGCTCATAGGCTACTATTTATGCAGTAAGCAAATTGACTGCATGCATAAAATAGTGGATGACCTACTACATTTGTCAAAACATACAGTATGTAATGGAGCATACAGTGCTAGGTATCCCAAAATCCAACACGCTTAATGAATGGTCTACAAATAATTCACACATTTTCTCATGACTCATTGTCTGATTGAAATTTTTACTCAAAACCGGTTGCAAAGTTAGGCTAAGTATGTCCAAGATGATGATGGCTGGATGCCACTTGCTGAATTAATGCATATATGCGTATGCATATATTTGCATATTATAGCCAATACTGTTTCATAGGCTATACTAAGTTTAAAAAAAATAAAAGGCAGTATGCTGCGCATACATGCTGTAATTCTGAATCTGAACAAACTACTGAACAATAAGGCCTTGTTTCAAATTGAATATTACTTTAGTACTAACTGTATACTGCCTTATATTTAATATATAAATAAGTTGGTTAATTATTCGATGTGTTTAAAGTAGCCTAGTATGCGACATAATTATCACGTGACCTCGGCGCGTTACATGTTTATATTGCTTTTTATTCTCATTTTGGGTCAAATGTCAGCTTTTTAAAGTCAATAACGAGTCATCAAAAATGTAAAACAAACGCGACTAATATTAGGTTGCTGCGTCCTGTTAATTTATTACACCATCCATCGGTGGAAGGTCAAGTCGAACACATTGCTCTACGAGATACATAATATACAGTAAACAATACTGCATACTGGACGTTATGAAAGCAAATTAGGTTATAGTAATAGTGGGTCATATAGGTATTCTATGCATACACTCCCATACAATGGGGATATAGTTTAGTGGTAGGCTATGCTTCACGTTTTCTTGCAAAGTCATGTATTGCCACCTGTTGGTAAACTAGGGCATTAAACTTCAGGTTCTTTCACACATGGTTATGTTATTCATGCTTATGTGGCCTACTGCGGTTAAATTTGTGGAATTGTGTTTATGTTAATGTATGTTGTATGGAAAAAAATAAAAAACAGAGCCAAAGACAGATACTCTCATTCTAAGAACCCCAAGCCTTTATTCACCACAGCATATGCTCCCAAAGTTACATGTGTGAAGAGAATAAAACACAGCTGGAAGAGAAAGATGAGGGTGGGCAGGTTTGTGACATTAAAGCTACTTACACAAGAGCAATGGCACACAGGGTAACACCGTCCACCCACACTGCTCTTAACACACACACTTACACACGGCATCCATTTTTATCACCTAAAATCCCCTGTGAACTCCCCTAAATCTTTGAAGTGATTTCAAGTGATTCTCAATTTAAGGCTGACTTGATGTTACACCGTCAGCAAAAATGCAACCCAGACTATGGTCAAACATGGGTCGAGAGACGTCACATGACTTCGGCGTGGCGCAAACCAAAGCTCCTCTAAAGCAACATGTCATTTTTTACCAAATCAAGCTGATTGGATGCGTGCGTGTGTGTGTGTGTGTGTCTATGTGTTGTGATGAATGTGTGAAGAAAGAGCTAGAGATTGTTGTAAATGCTATGATAGTGACCTGTTAGAGCTGTGTTTACTGTACTGTGGCGGCTTTTACTCTCTCCACATGGATATAGAGACACTAAAATTATCGTTGGGTTTAGAGAAAACATTGCTAGCCAGCAACCTCACAAACACCAAAGCCTAGTACAAGAGAAACTGTAGCAGATCTGATAGAGAGAGAGCGAGAGGGAAAATGAGTACATCCACTAAAAGAGAAAGATACAGAGAGAAACTTATAAAATGGCACACCGCAATACTTTTCATCGTCTCATATAAAACAAATAGGAAGTATTTACAAAAAAACCACACAAACTTTGACTGGTTTCGATTTAATCAAAAAACATTTCTTTTTTTCTGGAGTAATGGTGTTTCTTTTGTCTTCTGGACTATATTTGGGAGGATGCTGTTGGTGAGGGGGGCAGGGTCGATTCCCTTCGTCTGGGCGGGGCAGGGCAGGGGTGCCAGAGGCTCTTTTCTACATGGTGCAGAGGTGTCGGGGTGAGAGGGGGTCTCTCTGAGGACGGGAGGTCGCAGGTAAGGGGATGGGAGTGTTGTGAGGTGATGGGACAGTGGGTCTAGAGAGATGTGCTCATGCTGTTAACTCTTCCCTCAGCTCTTTGTTTCTGCGCACCTCCTGAGCGTGCTTCTCCTAAAAGCAAATAGAGAAATAATACACCAAATTAACATAAACATTACAGTTTATAGTTTAAAGATGATATACTGTTTTAAAATGCTTTTGGTAGCACTAGTGTCCTTTACAATGCAATGTTTTTATTGAACTGGTGAGAGGGGGTCTCTCTGGGGACAGGAGGTCGCAGGTATGGGGAGGAGGTGGTGTGGGGTAATGGGACAGTGGGTGTAAAGAGATGTGCTCATGCTGTCAACTCTTCCATCAGCTCTTTGTTTCTGCGCACCTCCTGAGCATGCTTCTCCTGAAAGCACATAGAGAAGTAATACAGTAAACTGATTAGCATAAACATTAGTTTATAGTTTAAAGTTGATATACTGTTGATTAAAATGAA